CGACCGCGTCTTATAGTCGCTTTGGACAAAATGGAAGGTAAGGCCGATGAATTTTCTTCCATGACAAGACCAACCATCGCAAGTATACGATCCAGCCAAAACGTCCGCTTTGAATAGCCTAGCCAAAGACGCCTCAGCATGCCCGTATAGCGTCGTTAATGCTTGGATCACCATATCTCGTTTAGGGCACTTGAAATAGGCAACACCATGTAAATCCATTAGGCCTTCAAACACGCCGTCGCCAAGGATACTGAAAGGATATCCATGCAGAGCAATTTTCCCGGCGAGATATTGCGCAGTTTGTTGCCTGAACTCAAGGGAGCTATGTAATTTCTGTTGTTGTATTTGGACCTTGGTTCGAGGCTTGACTTGTTGTACAACCGTGGGCAAAGCGGGAATTAAGCGAGAAAATACGGTGTCAGCGATTTCGGTCAGAGACTGACTAGGCTGGGACTGGCTAGTGGTGGATTGTTGGCTGTCGGTATTTGGAAGGGTAATTCCTTTTACCCTAGCCTGCTCTGCTCGAAATGCATTTAAAGCGTCGAGAAGGACTGAGTGCACCCTCCGAATATGGTTCATACGTGGCGCGCTTCCTTGTTTTTCGGGCTTCTTTTGTCCACATATCCTTCTCCCCTCCATGACTTGACAGATGTAGACCTCTGTCGCTCTATCCTTTTTCTCGGTATCACAAGCAGAAATTTCATCATCTACTGAACAATCAGGGGTTTCTTTGATAAAAAAGTGTCTATGGATTGCGTGTGGGTAACTTGATGGGATTTTTCTAATCGGTATCCGTGCCAACGCCTTTTGATTTGCAGATATACAATCAACAACGGATGGAAGCTGGCCTAATGGCAAGCTGTAGGAGGCTCGAAAACCCCTGCTAACAAGCGTTTCGGCCTGGGAAACTGAAGATGGTAACGAAGAGATATCGGAAAAGGAAGAATCAGGCGAAAGGAAGGGATTAGAATCCTCGCGATTCAACGATGGAGAACGCATAGCCATACATTCTGGTCCCTGATATTGCGTTTGCTGTAGGTATTGTGATTCATGGTATTGGATATGTACAGGCTGCAACTGAGGCCGGACTGACCTTGACTGAAGAGGGGAGAAGTTCCTCTGCATATATTGTGAATCTTGAAAATGGATCGGCTGTGGCTGTGATAATTGATGGTATTGCTCTGACCTAAGCTGCATTTGTGGATAACGGAATGGGGAACGGGGGTCAAATCGTTGGTTAATAGTTTCCGATTGCCTGCGAACCGGCAGAGAGTCTGTTGTTCTCGAACGAGCAAGTCTTCTTAATAACGGAGGGCTTTGAGGATGTTCTGAAGGAGCATTTGACGGCTCGTTCGCATGCCGAAATAGAAGAGGGTCGTCAATATGTTCGCGATACAATTCATCAACAGGAGGAGGTTCCGTTAAGGAAATAGGATATTGCGTGGCTTGACCAACGTTGACAGACATATTGGTGGATGGCTCTTCTGCTAGGTCGTTCACAAAAAGAGTATGATTGATGTGGTCCATTTCAGGGTGTTAAGGAAGACAGCAAAGAAATCGAAATGTTATTGGAAAACGGATGGTGAAAAGACGGATGGCGCTGTTTTTTTTACTGTTAGGATGTTATTTTATAAAAAACCACACTCATGCACATGTGAAAGTAAAATCAGTAGCGGTAAGGTATCAATGTACCGCACATATAACCTGCTTGCAGTAAAATATATCGATTACGTTTCACAAACATTTACCGAGGAAAGTAAGTAACTTACCGAAGAAAGTAAAATATCAGTAAGCAAATGTTTATGTTGAATATGACAAGGTAAAGCCACAAAATATCATGCAAATAAAAAGAGGTTGATTACCATTTTTAGAAAATAAACTTTTGCAGAGGTAAGAAATCGGTAAAATATCGGTAAGTTACAGTCGCAAGTGGTTTTTACGGCCAAAAACATATTGAAATTGGCCGTAAAAATGAATGAATTGACCTCACAAAAGTTGTATTTTAAAATGTGAAACATAAAGTCACATATATTGGCGCACATGATACAAAATACTTCATTCTTCATTCATTATTACACAACACCATGACCAGAAAGTTTGTGAACAAGAGACGACAGTCGTTCTCACTATTGATGGCCTCTAAAAAATTAGACAGAGAGGGGGGCAAGAGATCCGAAAGTCGGTGAAAGAATTAGCGCGTGCTTGTTCAGCCTTTCAATATAATTAATGTTAGCAAAAGCTGTTCATAGCCAAAAAAAAAAAAAAAAAAAAAAAAAACCTTTGTCATGTGCGCCAATATATGTGGCTTAATGTTTCACGTTTTAAAATACTTTTGTGGAGGTCAATTCATTCATTTTTACGGCCAATTTCAATATGTTTTTGGCCGTAAAAACCACTTGCGACTGTACACTCGAACTTTGATTATCCGAACGATTTGCTATAGAAAACGTTCGGATAAAAATTAGGTTTTATTGAATTGAGCTGTATTCTAAATTTACATAATATATATATGTTCAGGTGACCTTGCACTTATAGGTTTCCCTAACTGCACATCCGAACGAATGGTCGAACGAATGCCCTGCATTTAGGGAACATATAAGTGCAGGGTCACCTGAACATATATATATTATGTAAATTTAGAATACAGCTCAATTCAATAAAACCTAATTTTTATCCGAACGTTTTCTATAGCAAATCGTTCGGATAATCATGTCAACTGCTCGTGGCATTTCTCTTAAAGCCCGAGTCTTGTCTTGGCAAGTGCGCCACCAAATTGGAACATATGCTCGCAAGGATTTTCATGTTGTCTTGCTCAAGCATATATAGGAGAGCATTGAGCTAAAGTATGGGTAAGAAGAGGTTCTGGAGGAAGTACCATACTGTCTCGACCAAAGTTTATCATTGCAAGGATGCGATCATCTTCAAACTATACAAACCACTGCACCATCAAGTATGTTCATCTACTTTTTGACTCAATTTACCCGCTCAGTCAGGGCCTACAGTTCGGTCATACCAGTTAAATATTTCTATAAAGATGAAGGCTTGTATTTTCCCTTGGGTTAGAGGTTTTGGGAGTATCCTAAATCAGTACCTTGCGTGCCACAAACACAGCAGTCCAGGGCAATGAAGTTGGTCTGCTCTTCCTGGTTTGTACGAGAGTCAAGGCATTGGCTTCGAGTGGCATAAGTATCTCCATCATACTCTGGATATTATCAGTAGCTTTCGCAGATTCAAGTCGGTTACTACAAAGATGCAAGGAAAGAATGTCACCCAATTCGTATTCAACAGTGCATTGTTGGAGAATCTAGTTCGAGCACAAGGTTGTAGAGACGAGATAGCAGGCCTAATAGCTAGAGGGGCAGCAGGGGAGGCAAAGGCGACATTGCCTGCTGAATGGGATCGTAACAATGCCCATGGTATTTCCATGTCTGAAGGGTTCAGTTCTGAAAGGTGTTGATTAGGCAACGTATTTCCTTTTTCACATCAAAATGGTCTGTACTCAAAAGGGCAATGGCAAACCAAAGCGAATCCGGTGTGGTGCCGGAGACCAAGTAATGTCTTTAAGATGTCTTCAGGATGTCGTTCATGAAGAAGCCATGTATTGATCATGCTCAAGAGTGACTAAATCTATAAATCGGCTCTAAGTTCAACGAAAAACTCTCCTTTCAACTAAAGTACGAAAACAAACTGAGCTATCGGCTGTCTCTACTAGATTTCGAACCAACAGGTATGAAGGCTTGTCCTTTTGTACACGTCCCTATCGTTGTTCCTGTACTATTGTACTTTGGATGTCTCCTAAGAGTAAGGGTGGCAAAGGCATATCATTGAATCGTCTCTTAGTGTAACGTGCTAAATATGTCTTTTATTTGTTCTTTTCAATAGTAACTCTAGGGCTTATGACCACTTGTTAATCAAGAGCTGCAGAAGTCAAGGGAAAGGCACCTCTAGTAAGCAAAATTGAAAAAAAAAAAAAAAAAAAAAAAAAGGAGAGAAGAGAAATGAACATTCCATTGAGTAATTACCGACATGACAGAGCATCAATACCAACAATTCCGAAGGGGTGGTGTTATTGAGAAAGTTTGTGTCAGAATTGCTTCTACCTTCGCAAGCAATGGCAACTCAGCCCTGCCATGTGAGTCTGCAAGACATTCGGGATGTGTTTCCAGATGCACAGTGATTCAAGCTGGAGGAACTTCCTATTCCATTCCTCATAGACCCTAATGGGAACAGGTATGTTACTGATTATGGTGCACTTTATCAATCATCTTTGGAAAGCAAACCAAGAATCTCAATTTGGCATATGTCTGTCTTCTTGTTAGAGTTGAGCCACCATGCATTGCATTCTATCCTTACAAGATCCTGGATATCATTACAGAAGCGCCGCAGTTAGGCAACAGCGACAGCAGCAGCAGCAGTACCGAAGCTAGCAACGCTGACACCGGCAACAGCAGTATCAATACCAACACCAGCACAAATACCAACATCGACAATACCAACTGTAGCTGCAATAACAACAGCAATCACAACACCGTCATCCACTTGCCTACATTGAGAAAGTCGTCAAACCAGGCCTCCCAGGATACTCTTTTACCATTATCAAACTTGATTCAATCTTTCAATTCGTTCCTTACTACCTGCAACAGTGCATATACCGAGGTGATCAACTCTAACCTCGAGAAGGTTGCGGATGTGCTCTTGGAGACCAAAGAGAAAGAGAGCAAGGTGGCTAATCTGCTGTTGGGAACCAAAGAAAAGGACAGCGAGTTGTATAAACTGAAGGACAAGATGCTTAATCTGGTATTGGAAACTAAAGAGAAGGATAGATCTTCCCATATCGAGATTATTTTATGCAAACAAAGTAAAATCACTTCATTACAACTAACAACTGAACCTCAATCATCATTCTTATTGCTCTTAGAACAGTAGATATCCCTCGGTTGGCTCTTGTTCAGGAACCATGTCCTCCAAATTGTTGTAATAATGTATTTATTCTTTAGCTATTATTTCTGAACGCGAACACCGCGTGATCGGAACAAATCAGTCACTAAACTGCAAGCATCTGGATCTTGATTCACAAGGCCTACCAAGTCCTTGATACCCGGCCAATTGTTTACAATCCATGTTGCATCCTCAATTTGCATATTCTGACAGTGATCAAATTCGAACCCAAACAACTCCAAATTCTTCAGGTTGGCTAGTTCATCAAGGCCTGCTCTTAACCTCATGTCCAGCGTCCGAGCACTCTCATTTGATAAAGAAAGAAAACGTAGTCGAATCAACTTGCCCAGCTGTCTAAATACAAAACGCTGCTTCTCCATACCTTCTGGAGTCTCTTGATCAACATCGGCTTCAAGCTGGATGACTAAAGTGGTGAGATCAGTACTAACCCACTCTGCACCATTGATAATTTCGGTCACTGTGATCTTAGCCCCGCACAGGTACTTCAGACGTGGGCAATTAGATAATATCGCTTGAACAACGCCATCAGTCCCTTGACTTTGTCCATTGAAATCTAGTGCCTCAACTGTGTCACAGAGTCGCTGAAGCCTTCTTTTCTGTACTCTATTTCCATTTATCCAAATCTCCTGCTCGTACGATAGTAATTCTCGAATACAGAGTGGACCAAATTTACAATATGGAGCATCAAGCCGCCTTAAATCAGTCATCTGTCTGAGAAGCGCTGCCATTTCCTCGTCCTTAATGGTTATAGTTGAAAGTCTTAGGTCTGATAGATTTGTTAGCATGTAGGGATGATGAAGGAATGCTGCTTTGAAGAACTCCACATGTTCATGTTCTTGCTGGCCGATAGAAATTTACTGAATTCCAATGAACATAACTTAGGGCACCTCCTAATCCAAATGCCGATGCAATACGGTGATGTGTAAGGAATTGGAGGGCAGGATATTTCGATATCTCGAAGAGCTAATGTGGTCACATTTGGTAAAATGAACGTGTCCGTGTCGTCGTCTAAGAAGCCGGAAGGGGGCCGATCGATTTCTACCATGGTCATTCTCAAGTGCTTAACTTTCTTGCAGACTTGGAAGAATGGATCAACCTCATCATCACAAATATCTACCCAAGAGAGAGTCAAGTCCTCAAGGTGAATGCATTCCAATATTGCTTCCCATATCTCACGTAAAGTTGAACTAGAGAATGAAAGCTTGGTGATTGTGGAACTATGAGACATGACTATATTGAAAGGCTGACTCAATTCATGTGGAAAGCAATAAGGACATTCGATGGATCGAAGGTGATCCTTGTACTGGCAAGAGCTCATCTGGTATGAGGAGTTTAAACACAAGCTCCTCAATGTTTTCCTTGTATTTATGCACTGCTTCCTTAGTAGGACAGCGGTAAGGAGTTGGACTATCTTTGACAACGACCCTTCTCCAAAGGAATTTGACAAATGCATTGTGAAAGGTCTTGGAGAGACCAATACAACGTAAGAGATCATCTCGATCTAGGAAGCCATTAAGAAGCGAAACGATTTCTGGAATCTCCAAGGGATTCACTTTAGGTCTGCTCATTGTATGAAAGGAAGATTAAGAATGTGAATAGACGTGCTGAATGCCGAATCCCCCTGATCCAGGAACAAACAACACAGTGGCTTTAAGAACAAAACGTGTCATTTGTGCTCATTTGAGTTCATTTGAGTCCATTTGGGTCCTTTTAGCCTTTTTTTTTTTTTCTTCATTCAACTTATTCTTCTTTCATCGCATTGGTTTTGTTAATTAATGATGCTTAAAATACTCTGTCTACACGGCTATACTCAGGTATATAAAAAATAGAATAGGCAATAGTACATAAAATCCCTTCAAGAAAAGTGGCTGATGGATGTTGGATTTACAATGTATTATATCTTTTCATCTTTCTCTTATTCTAGAATGCACTATCGTTCACTAAAAAGACCGCCGTCTTCCGTAAAGCACTCAAGGATGTTGCTGATCTCGGTAAGTAACAAAAAAAGAAAAAAAAGGAGCATTGGACAGGTTAAAGAACTATAGGGACAAACATTTTAATTTCAATACAACCTTTTTAAATGCCTTCCAATTAGTCTACGTCACAGCACCGCACGTCGTTCCTATTCCAACATTAGGGACCCCAGAAGAGCGTGAGAATGATGAGCTAGATAATCTAGGGCCTGGTAAGCTACTTCTTTGTTTATTTTATATCATGTGCATGTTTCTTGAGGAAATAGGAAAGATATATGATGGCCTCTGTTCTGTTCAAAACATTTGCCTTACTTTTATTATCATTGCAATTACCTCTACTATAGAGGATGCCTCCTATGGCTGGTGGACATCATCACCGGAGAAACCTACTTATAAAGGATTTGATGAGAGTTTATCAGAGCTTCGGTCTGTGCTTGAGAAAGAGGTAATACTTTATATAAACATCACCATTCATTTTTCTCCAATCTTTTGGCAGTACAATTTTTTAAAAAAAGCGATATTTTTTTTTCTAGGGACCTTTTGACGGTGTTATGGGGTTTTCACAGGGTGCATCAATGGCGAGTCTATTACAGCTATTGTTAGAACGACCTTATTTATCCCCGATCATGAGTGGGTGCCGACATGATCCTTTCAAGTTTGCTATTATTGTCTCTGGATTTGAACCTCGAGATCCGGAAAAGATAGGATGGTATACCAATAAATATCCTATCCTGACACCTCGGAGACCCCCAAGATCAACCACTGGCAACCACATTAGTGATGATGAGATGGATTTAGAGGATCAAGAGGATAAAGAAAATATTGAGCCAGAATCTCTTCATGGTGTTCAAGGTGCTAGTATGCATGTCATTGGACGAACAGATGTTATTATCACGCCAGGTAAAAAAAAAAAAAAAAAAAAAAAAAAATAGAAAGTGATACTCAGTCCTGTGCCTCTTATTAATATCCTTATTGCTATTGTTATTATTGCACAATCAAAAAAATTAGAGCGCTCTGAGGAGCTATTAAAGCATTATCAGTATAGACCACCTGTGACATTATATCATGATGGTGGACATTATATGCCTTCGAATGCAGCGAGTCGGCAGGCTTATAAATCATTTGTTCGATCTTTCATGTAGAGGAAGTGTAGACCTTGATTCCAAGTCAGAAAGATCAAAGAGGATCAGGGAAATTGTTACATGACAAGGGATACGAGTCAAGGGGTATCAGACCAATAGACAAAGGATATTCACCTTAGACAGTTTATCAGATTAGATTGATGATCAACTCTTTAGTATATCCAACCACATAACTTTGTATATAAAACTATATATGTATCTTCTTGTATGGCAACTCCTCTCTCAACTGAAAAAAAAAAAAAAATAAAAAAAAATAAAAAACTCCGCATCTGATCTGATAAACACCTTGTCCCATTTCCTGATATTAGATCGTACTGGGAACAAGGCGAGGGTAAAAAAAAAAAAAAAAAAAAGCACAGCAGATTTTCCCGTCTTTTTCTTTTCCGCAATATCGGATGAAATTTACCAACGCGCAATTACTCTTCATCGGCAGAAGTAGAGAGAAAAGCATAGCCGAAACAGTTTTTCAGCTTTTGTCTGAATGTAACAAAAGAGCGGTTTTAGTTTGTGTTGTTGGTTGAAAATTTGGTGGCAAAAGCATTGTTAAAGGTTAAAGAAAAGTCAAAAGTCAATGACTATTGCTGTCACTACTACTTGTGCCGATACAGATACGGATACAGATACAGATGTAGATACAGATATGGATACAGATATAGATGCAGATATAGATACAGATAATACTAATGATACAGTAAAGCATCTTTGCCAAAGAAGAAGAGAGGACAATCTAAGCTTAGAGTGTCGGTAGCCCTAGTTATGAATGGTCTTCATAAACTTCAGCTTCATATTCATGTATGCTTTTACATGTTGCTGTCAATATCCGTTTAACGCTTTGTTCAGGACGAACTTTGCATGGACGGGTAACGATTCCTCTTCTCCCGATCAAGGCAAATAGGTAAAAAGAGAATGTGTCTGTAACGGAGTCGGGCAATTGCGCATTAATCTTCTTTTCCCACTTTCCATAAATCGACATTCGATTCCGCCTTTCTTTTACTCTCCCATCTCATCTCAATTTTTTTTAGCATTACATACACAACATACACAAAACATAAACAAAGTACAAACAATTCATTCATCTACACCATTAAACATTTGGGCTTTTTTTTATATACAAATATATATAAATATAAAACCCTTGCTCCACTTTTTTTTCTTATCTCTTTCTCCTCATTCTTTCTCTTCTTTCTTTGTGCCTTGGCATCCTTCACTCTTCGTTCAAGACCTGCTTTGTGTTACTCTTTGTCCTTATCCATATTTGTATTTGTACCTTATTCCTAATCTTTTCTTTCTTCACTCCTCTCCTTACAATACCTACCTACGTTACTCTCTCGAGACAATACAACACAATGCCTTTTCCTATCTATGCTGTTCCCCTGACTAGGGATTGGCTGGGTATCTATCAATGGAAAACATCTAAACCAGAAGATCTACCCCAGGAACTGGAGGTATATTCAAAAAAAAAAAAAAAAAAAAAAAAAAAAGTACTATTTTGGCAAGAGAGCTCCGAAGAGCTAAAAAAAAAAAAAAAAAAAAAAAAAAAAAGGACTAGTAATAAGAAACAAAGATCAAGAATGAATGAACGAATGAGTGAATGAATGAATGAACATCAAGATGCCTTTCATTGTTCATTGTTCATTCCCTTTCGTATTTTTTTTATCGTTTTGTCTGTGCTGTACAAGTGTTCGTGCATTAATTTTGTTTGTGGGTAAACAATACGCAACACAAACAACACATTTCTCATCTGTCTTCTCTTCCTCTTTCTCTCTCACTCTTCTTCCTTGTCAAATACAAATTAAAACAGTACCTATCATTCCAAGAGTTTGAAGACCGATTTACCCAACTTAATAGGATCGCACGACCTACTTATCCAACAGTCTGGCCTAATGTGGCAGCAATAGTCTTGCTCACCGGCATTGCGATGGTTGCAGCCTTTGGAATCACGCACACAGGAACAACTATGGCTGTCATGGGCCAAACCGCTTGTTTTTTCTTCCCTATCATGGTTGTCGTTTGGATCAAAATTCGAGCCGAGACCCTTGCAAGATCTCGGAAAAAGGTAACCAAAAAAAGAAATTACACAAACAGACACAAACAAGAGCCTGCACTTTATTTACACACAAAAAAAAATCTGATTAGATGAGATGGGCGGAGAGCGAGGAGATGGAGAAACGGGAAACGGGACAAACATACAGATAAATATATATTATATGTATGCAACATGCATTTATGATCGGGAATTCGGAAATTGCTAGTTTTATTGAGCAGTGCAACGCCATAGCTTTTTTTAAATGCAAATATTAACCTTTTTTATATATATATATATTTTTTTTAACTGTAGTTCAAATATCAATCCCAGAAATTGCTCCGAGAATGGACAGCTCAGGATACGGAAACTCATGCCATCCAATGGAAAATTCGTCTGCGCCCAAAAAGTGAAGCAAATAAATGGTTGAGACACAGGCAGGTCCAACATCAACAACAGCAGCAGCACGGATACTATTATACTCAGTCGCAACATGACCATGCATACCATGATGGTCGTCTGGTGAATGATATGTCAAGCTTATTACAATATCAACAACGGCAACAGCATTATGGAGGCACAGATATAGTCACTTATCATTTGCCATCTGACTATATTATGCAAGGGCAACAGATACAATCCCAGCCCTCTGGCAATTATATTGATGTGGTTATCCAACACCCAGTCACAGAACAACCGTCTTCTTCGTCATCGTCTTCAGTCATGGCAACAGCAACGACGGCAGTAGAGCTCTCAAAGCCCGGCTGGACGACCTTCTGTGACCGAATGAAGAATTCTCTTTGCCTTGGCTATATTTTCAGAGAACGTAAGGTCTGGTTGATCGAAATATCCTTTCGGGACTATCAATTGGAGGATGATGCGTTGACGATACCTAGCCCTGTCTACTGTGATTACCGCTTGCCAGTTTATGAAGATATTGTGTCCATAGGGACCGCGGCTGATGATACCATTATGCCACTACCACAAGCAACAACAATAGTAGCCCCCGCAGCAACTCATGCACTGTTGTCGACAAGCGCCAATTCTGATCACTTGACGATAAATTTCTATTTGGACGAACCACCGGCTTATGAAAGTCGATTGGAAGATTCTGATAGTGACAATGGTAATGAAGCCAATGCTCCATCATTTATGGAGCCCTATCAGGGACAGCAGCAGCAACAGCAGATGACTATGGTGCAGCGGCTTGCGGGGTTAACTTCGGTCACCATCATGCCTTCTTCATCAAGATTAGATACGTGTAGATATACAATGAGCAGCGCTGATGGACCTGCGCGGTATAATAGGCTCATGGTATCAACACATGAAGGGGCATCTTCTACCGTGTCATTACCACTTGTCGAGAGGAAGGAGTATATTTAAGAGCGAAGTGTAGTTAATTGTACATATATTTGTATTATACATAGATCCTAGTTGAAGTAGTTTGTCAATGTACAGTCCACGCTAGGTTTTCACTTTAAACCGAGCGTAACGATTACTATCCAACAATTCAAGACATAAAGAATGCAGCCACACAAAGAGCTTTAGATTTGTCTTCCCTGATAAATATCAAGTGCTCTGATTCTTTGTTTAAAACTCGAACTTGTCATTTAGTAAACTATCACGTTTATGCTCAGATTTGTCGCTATTCCGAGTGTGAATTTGTTACTGTTCACAAATATAACTTCGTCAGCCAAACCAATCAGCCCCTGCCACTGATGCCTGGACTACGCCACCAGCTCTTTTTAATACTCTTTCTCACGCTTCTACTCTTCACTCTTCAATCTTCATTCTTCACTCTCCACTTTTTGATCAGTCAAGCAATGTAGAGTTGCCTATTCATTAATAGTACGACTTGATACCGCCCTCCCTCCCCTACAACCACTGTTCATATTGCAGTGTCATTTCTTTACATATTAGAACTTCTTTGCAATGCAAAGACGTTATCTGTTGCATCATTATTTTATTTTTTAAATTATCTCTCTCTGCCCATAACACGAACAACTCGCACGTTGTTCATACTTTAACCTTATTTAACGCGCTGACTACAGCCCTCCTCCTTGCAGATGCATAAACAACACAATCAAATGAAGATCTCCAAAGCGACTTTCCTACCAAGTCGCAAGAAGAGGCTTTCCGATCCTTGAAGGGCCATCCCCTATGCAATAACTAGGGAAGCAGTCGTGGCCCACTAAAGCTTCTTTTAAAAGTCCAAAAGATGTAAGTTATAACAAAAGAAACGTGAGGTGGCAAAATTATTCAAGTAAGAACTTGTAATTTAAGCTTTTTTCTGTTTTTTTCTTTTTCTCTTAATATCAATGACGGAACCAGACTCATTACTGAAAGGATTGGCTCGCTGTTTGAGCTCATGGTTCAAAGGGAAGCAGAGCTCTCCTATATATTCCCCACAAAATCAGATCAAAACTGAATCAGTCAGCTGGTAAGTGTGAAAAAAATAACAATAATATTTTCTTTTGTCTTGTATCAGAACGCTTGATAATGAATGCATCCTAGTGCCGGAAACTCAACTTTTTCTTTTTCCTCTTATAAAAAAAAAAATGTATAGGACAAAACACACAGTCAGGGGGGTCTATGGTATTAAACGTCGCTTTGAACGCAAAGAGAACGTTCAAAGTGGGGACGAACGAGATACTACAGCCGATGATAAGAAACCAAAGCGTGCACAAAGAGTCACGCGATCACCGCCGACCATCTTATCGAAGCCAATATGGTAATGCGTGGTCTGGCTATTATGCAATACTCGAGGATGAAGCCCATAAGGGACAGGATGAGGAAGATGCGCCAATAAATTGAGACAATCCTGGGATGCATCTCCAGCCAGGATATTGAAGTCACGAAAGACTTCTTAAAACATTAAAGGGGAGCTCTTGATACCTACTCATCATGGGTAACTGTCACCCGCAAGTTTTTTACTTTTCCTTATCCTTTTCTTTTTCTTAAAAAAAAGGAAAAAAACTAATCAACTATGTGTCCTCAATTAATAGCTCCTCACAACGCAAACAGCCCCCAAGAAATGGCCCTCTCCTCTGAAACGAGGGGCCAATCCCCGTATTTTCGTTTGCAAGGCCACTAACATCCACACCATATCAAATGGCCGCGCTACCAAGGAGGAGAAGGCTAAGAGAGAAAAGACTGAGAGGACTGAGAAGTCTGACAAGGCAGGGAAGTAGAGAAAGCAGAAACCCCATCAGCAGAGAAGGCAGCTGAGCAAGTAGTAAGAGGCGCTGAGGCCGCCAAGGTTGCGGCTTTGGTAACAGCAGAAGTAGCGAAAGCGTCAGAAACAGTAGGGAAAAAAACACTACCGCCAGTATCAATAATAGCAGCAGCAGCAACAGCTACAAATAATATGAGTGAATCATAATCTCCTGCTTCAAAGAAAAAGGATTTAACCACAGGATACGTCCCGGATGGTGATTATTTTCAAGTTAGGAAGCGTCAGCCTCAAAGAACTCGTCATGTGGACCCGCATTGGATCCTTTGCCTCGAGACACAGCCCTCCTTCTCTGCTAGTCCGTATGGGCTACCAAAACATTATTAAAACGTTAAATAATTAGCTTGATGAATGAATTGATAAATAATCATCTGACAACTTCCCTGCATAATTTTTCCCACACTCTTCTCTCCACTTTACTTTTCTACACACTCGATTTCGCCTCCTCTCCACATACTCATTAGTGTACCCTCTTCCCCTGAAAATAAACGTACCAGTCTACTGATACTGATAACACTATGGCCTCCATGACAGGGGCAACAGGGGGATGGACTAATAACTTTGCCCACTATGGACGTTCAAACCAAACGATGGATGACTTGATAATGGGGCAACTGGCCGATGACCTAGGGCACTACAGCCCCAAAACAATAGAATATGATCCCGAGCCATATCAACGTATGCTTCGGCAAGAACGTAATTTGAAGCAAACTTATCAACCTACTGATGCTGGTGGGAGAATGGCTTCGTCAAGCAGGGCAAAGGGGAAGGCCAAAAGCTCTGAGTACCATGGACGTTCAAGGCAAGAGGTGGATGGCTTGATACCGAGACAGCCGATGAATGGTCATGAGCTCCCCAGCTTGCAAACAATAGAAGATAGCACCAGTTCCGAGGCATACCGCCGTATACCTCAGCAAAGCCGTAAATTGAAACAGACCCATAAACCTATTGATGTTGGCGTTGATGGGAGCCTGGGCTCGTCATCGAGGGCAAAGGGGAGACTCAAAAGCTCCTGTCACCACACACGCGTGGAGTTCAAGGGGAATGACCCAATCCAGGTGACTGATGACATTTTGTCTATACCCAGCGCCCAAGCAACAGAAAACAGCATCAATTCCGAGGCATTCCCCCATATACCTCGGCAAAGTCGTAATCTGAACCAAACTCGGCAACTGATTGGTATTGGTAGCAGTACGCCTTCCCCAACAAGGGCAAGAGAGGAGCCCAAAAGCTTTGGTCAGCATGGACGTCCAAAACCAGAGGTGGATGACTTGATACGGCTGATTGATGACATGAAGCTGATCGGTGTTCAAGCAGCAAAAGACAGCACCAGCCCTGAGCCATGCCGACGAAAATCTCGTCAGAGCCGTAACTTAGAGCAAACTCATCAACCTATTGATACTGGTGGTAGAAGCGTGGCTTCTTCAATAAGAACAAAGGAACGGTCTAACATCTCAGACTACAATGAGAAGCCGGAACCAGAGGAGCCTGACTTGATACAGCTGGATGATGGCATGGACTCACTTAATGTCCGAGTGACAAAAAGCGGTACAAACCTCGAATCATACCATCACACACGCCAGCAAGACCATAATGTGAATGCCACTGGAGAGATGATAGACTTATTGACGCCCCCATGTTGGGGTTGCAGTAAGAATATGAAGATGGGCAAGCGCGGCATTAGTAGCAACATTCAAGGCATGGAATATTATTGCGAAAACCATAGCTCTCGTCGTCGATGTCATGGCACAACAGAGAAGCGTACACGCTGCAGTGTCTTTTCTCCAAGCAAAGAGTTGGTCGAAGATGGGGTTGAGTGGTATTGCTTTAAACATAATCCTCGCAATAGTCACCTTCGATGTCAGATGGATGCCAAAAACAAAGGAAGGCAATGCAAGATTATTTGCTCCGAATCAGAAATCCGCCTTGGTGATGTACCTATTTGTAATAACCACTTTAATAAGATAAGATAAAATTCCTGTCAGTCCATCATTACGTAACGCTGCGTTATAGCTCCTAATACGATTAGTGAATATAATGAAAGGCTAAGTAGTTTAAAAAAAAAAAAAAAAAAAAAAAAAAAAAAAACTTAAAGCGAAGAACGGGTGTTCAAAGTGGAAGTGATCGAGATGTGTACGAAGAATCACATTATCATCACATCGATTACATATCTGCGCCATATGCAACGGGTAACCTGCCTACTATGTAATACCCCAGGCGGAAAAGGGCAAGGAAGATGCATCAATGAACAAGAAATAAGCCTAAGATATATCCCCGGCCAGTGTCAGTTTACCAAGAGTAATAAAAAAAAATTTTCTATCTATTACCTGTCAGTTGTCACGTGAAAATCAGTATATCCACAACTTCTATCTAATACGGATACGTACATGTCAAACCTTCACACCACTTTTATATGAAATACTAGAATAGAAATCAATTAAAAGAAAGGAGAGAGCAGAATTGGCACATAATATGCGACTACAGAAAACTACTCTTGGACCATTGCGCCATTTTTGTCGAATGAAAGGGAGGTTGGTTGTTACAAAGGCATAATTGTGGTTTCTCATTCCTTCATTCCTCACATTAACCAATTTTTAACATTTTTTCGAGTTACAACACTCTGTCCAGCCCTTCCGCTACAACTTCCACCAGACAGTTGACTTTAGATATTAGATGCGTCAATGCTTGAACTGATATGCGCTTTAATTCTATAATTCTAACCGAAGGTTGCACTATAATTCTAACTATGAAGATCGTTGTAATACTTATTCAAAGACGAGGATACCAAGAGCTGCTCAACTTCATTTAAAGCAACTCTCTCTCTCGATCACGTAATTCACCTTCCATGGTGAGCATTCTATCGAGAATCGAATATATCACGTCTTTCTTAAACTTGTATCGTCTAGCCGAATTGGAAGCCCTCCAAGACCTGCCTTTGAACTTATTAAGCCGCCAGATAGAAGGATAGTCATTGTGCCCATAAAACCATTCATTCCAATGCTCTCGGAGAGAATGTTTTTGATGGAGCATGTCATATTTATCAATAGTGACCTCCATTTGAGGCGTTGCAAGCGAGTTTTCAAGGTTTTGTATTTCTTTAATTCTGCTATCCGTCCATAGCTTCTTGAACCGCTTTTGTACTAATGGGATATCCTGGCCCACTTCATCCTGCTGTTTCTGCCCTGGCTCTTGCTGGGCCTGTTCTTGTCGCTGATTCAATTCTTGAATGCCCTGACCTTGCTCGTAGTTTTGATCTTGATCTTGATCTTGATTATTGTCCTGATTCATCTGTTGTTGTTCTAACCCTTGTCCATGTTGTTCCTGGGCCTGCCGCTGGGTGGGCTTCTGCTTCTGAAGTCGAGATTGATTGGACGCCAACCCCAATCCCTTTGCAGGTTGCATGTTAGAAGTTAGGCCCAGTGACACACTCTCTTCCGCCACAGAAACTTGAAGTTGCTGTGCCACTTGCTTCATGATATTTAGCATACTAGCGGCAAAACGATTGAATTCACCTGAAACTGCCAATGCAGTCGCTTCCGACTGTCGATGCCTTTCATCGATAAAGTCTCCTTTAAGAGTTCGCGTGTTTGAGGAAATTTCGTCTGCCCTTTGAGTTAAATTGTCAATAGACGCCTGTACATGCTGAAGGTCATGACTAAGCTTCGTACTGACTCCTCGGAGTTCATTCACGATAGCAGGTGAGTTAGCATTAAGGCTATCCAAGTACGGGGATGTAGCGTTTGCCATAGCATCCTTGAGCGCCAATCGATACGAGTGGAATTGCGGATCTTGAAACACTTTGTGTCTAAATATTCCGTGAAGCGAGTAATTGGACAAGTGGTTTTCACTAGAGATATCCATGAGAACGACCGCATCCTGGAGTATGACCTTCCGTAAGTGAGCCAGGAGGCTCAAAATGTTGATGGCGGGGACATCCATGTGACTGACTGAAAGACGTGTATGTTCGGGTCGCCCGTAACAGATTTCTCTATCCTCCATGATGTTCTGTATGCGTTTCTTCCAATCAGGATGACCATCAAAGTACGACTCGATAAAAGGGAAGATCTTTATCTGAAGTTCATTCGGAGGAAGCAGAACGTTGCGCACATACCATGGGCGTTCATTAACAGAGGTGAAGCCAGACATTTTAAAGGCAACGGTACTGATCGCGAGGTCCAAATAATGCGTCATGAGACGATTCATGCTCCAGTGCGCATGCTTTTCAATGTCCTGAATCTCACACCCATTTTGATGCACAAAGCGAGCTCCAGCACCGCGGTGATAGTGGGTTGGCTTGTTAACGGGGATGTTAGCCCCATCAAACAAATGAGACTGACCCATGTAGTGCGCTGCTTGGGAAAGCTCAGTTTTTTGACTTGGATCGGATGTGCTCACCCAAAGATATCGGTTGTACCAATCCTCTTCGTCTGCAAAATTAGGCACTGTGACATCAGAGCACTACAAAAATAAGAAACATCTTCGGTGTTATTAATATAGTCAAAATGGCACTTATTCTAATACTAAAGTAGCTATTGATCGCTTACCTGCCAAAGCTCAAAGAGATAAAACCCAAGGGCGCCAATTGGGCATACCTCCACATTTTTATTCCTAATGATTGCTGTCATACACTCTTTGCCATCACGGTTTACTTTTCCTTGCAGCATTGTAAGGACGATGCCGAGCACAAATTGGCCATTATTGGTCTCCTTGCGTCCAAAATTGATGGCCTGTATGTCTGCCAATGTAGCCTTCCTCATATTCTCCCCTCGAGTCATCATGAAAAAAGACCATGCTGCAATGCCTCGGTCTCGTAGCCCTTTAACTTTGTGATTATTGGATTTCCCAAGCGACGAGTAGTTATGTCTCCAGCCTTGTCTCATCACCTCCTTTAAGTGGTAAATCTCCTCACCCTGATCAACACAAAATGTTCTCATTTTCTTTGCTGTTTTGGTCTGCCCTAATCTGCGTTTATAGCCTTCCATGAGAGTGATAATTGAATGAGTTCTAGGATGTTGCTCATGCATCATATCTGGACGATTCCTCTGGCTGTTGTAAAGATCTATAACAGCCTTGATATATGCGTCTGCTGTTTCGAATGACACTGGCTCTACCTCCAAGTATTTCATAAGCTCGAAAGAAGTTACAGAGCCCTTCAACTTGGCATTGACACGAAGCGGAAGCACAGCATCTCGATGGTTAATATCGTTGTCCGGTATAAATGGTTTTTCTTCCAAATTCTCTTTCATGTACATTAGGAACTTGTTTGCCCTGACGCTGAAATCGCTTCCATATCCTTTTCGAGTACACCAGGCCTTGAGAATAGGAGAATAGGAAAGGAATCGCAGAGCGAATCAGAATAAGCACATGCTTTAACTCTATCTCATTTTATAATTGAAAAACGTGCGATCTTTACCTCCCAATGCTGCTGGTATCGGATGTAAGTCTTCTTAGTGCTATCTGCAAGCTGATGGCGACGCTGTTCTTCAGTGTTTACTTGGGCTTCAAACTCCTTGACTCTCAAGACATTTAGTCTCTGGATTTGTTCCTCGCTTTGTAAATGGGGAGTGACTACCTGAGAAGAGCTTGTTCCTGAGTATGAAACTACTGTATCAGCTTGAGCCTTTCGTTTCCGTGACCGGCTCTGTGTAGCCTGTCGCGAAGCTGGTAATGAAGATGGTAATGAGGCTAGTAATGAAGATGGTAATGAGGCTGGTAATGAAGCTGGTAGAATAGTGCTTGCTAATGATAAAAGAGAAAATGAAATTTCTTCAGAATGAGGTTGATCAATGGACATGGAGATTCATTTACCTCGAATTAACTTAAGTGCTTTACTTGGGCAAAGGCTTCCCGCGGAGGGAGCTGAAGAATAGCTTTCAGACGAGTCCGCAAGAATACCACTGTCTCTCCTTTCGGCAGCGCTCATGAAGGTAGAATGAAGAATGGTGGTAAGGTAAGGTGTTTTGGGCGAATTTTTTTTTTTAAGTTCTTTCGAATGGCTTAGGGACAGTATTTTTGTAGGAAATTGCCAGTCATGCCCGGGTAATTTTTTTCATATCGATAAATATATTTCTTATTCATTTCAATTCAATCGGCGGACTTTATATAATTTTTTTTAGAAAACACCTTCACAGGATATTGAAATCATGCACCTGATGCCTACACAGGTGATAAATTAGTGCCTATTCATGGACACTTTTGCCCGTAAATTGTTTTTTTTTTTTTTTTTTTAGAGAAAACTAATCAACTAAATGTTCTCAATCAGCGGCCTATCACAGTCCAAGTGATAAATCGAAGAGCTTTCGTTGACAAAGCCACCAACGTCCGTAGCACATTAAGCGACCATGTTACCAAGAAAGCGTTAGGCCAAAAGACAAAAGACTGACAAGGCGCAGAAGACAGGGCCCATAGCAGGAGGTTGCATAACAAGGAGGCAATCAAAGCATTGAGGTCATCAAGACTGCGACCTCAGTAACAGCAGAAACAGGGACATTAGAAACAATAAAAATAAAAATAGAAAAAACATCAGTGCACCAGTAACCAGAACTAATAACAGCAATAGCAATAGTATGAACCACAGTCTTATGCTAAAAAGCGAATGGTTTAATCATAGGTATACCCAGGATGGTGGTATTTTCCAAGTGAGAGAGCAAAGCGCCAGCTTCAATGTACTCATCACATAGACTCGTATTGGGTTCGAAATATGGTGTCTCGAGGCCATTGCCAAGTACGTCTCTCTCTCTCTGCTGGGCTGTGCACCACTATTAGAACATTAATGATAGCAAAATAACAGAAGATCAGATGCACCACTTTCCAATGTGAAGGTCTTCGCCACCCCTTGTGGGTATAAAATAAAATCCACATCTGTTCTCTCTTCCACGCACATGCTTTTCTCCTCAACATTCGACTACACCCTCACACTCTTTTTCCCCATTTCTCTAGATATACTCACCGAAGCGTCCTTCTTCCTGATAAAACGTGCCAGCCTATTGATACTGATAGTACTATGGCTTCTATAACGGTGACAAGAATGGGGCAGACTGATGACTTGGACAACTGCCGAACACGAGGCAGCAGTAATCCAAGAGAGCAATCCAATCCTAATAGCCAGAACTATAATGAAAGTCCGAAATCAGAAGAGTCTGATATGAAGCAGTTGATCGATGCCCTGGAGGAGTGCAGCTTCCAAGTAACCCAAGTAACCCAAGTAACCCAAGTAACCCCAGTAACCCAAGTGGGATGTCCGATTTGCAAGGAGGATAAGAACCTCAACAAGCGTGACATCGTGCTGGAATTCTGTGAAGACCATGCCCGCCTCCGATGCCGTGGTAAAAATATAACAACAGAAAAGAAAGAACGCTGCCTTAAATTTTGTTCACCAAAAAAGTTAGGCAAAGATAAGGAGTGGTATTGCCCCCAACATGATCCTTGGAATGACCACCATAGATGCCATGCATATGCCAAAACCAAAAAAAGACAATGCGGTGTTACATGCACACCAGAACAATACCACGAACACCCCGATCGTGAAAAACCCATTCCTATTTGCAATACCCACTGGGATAATGGAGCAAAGTTGGTCAAGTGAATTGTACCAATCACGTGCATCCCCAACTTCTATGACAAAGGTAGACATACGGGCTCTTACAGTCACCACAAATTATAGCAGATATCTCTTGAACACCTCATTGACATATATAAATACCTTCATAAAAAATGACGCGTTTATGTCACCTAAAACTACAAATGTGTTCCATCTTTTACGCTCAAAGCTATATATCCAAGAAAAATACCTAACTTCAGTGGTCTTTCTCTCATCCATTCATTCCATACACGAAAGTTTAACGTCGTTCGTCAATCTTCCTCGACTTCATAGTTTGGTCAATTGTTTTTAAAAAGTGGGGGAGGAGGAGGAACAATACTATGCTACGTTACTCATATAATAGATGGTTGAGTAAATCAAAAAGCCATCTTACAACGTATTCGAAAAGAGAAATAAAAATAAAAAAATAAAAAAATCAAAAGAAGTATCATCTTCACCTATCCAATTTTTTCTCCTCATGAGTTATCTAGTGTCCAGCAAAACTCCAACTCTTCAAGCCGAAAAAGCAATCTGGTCCCGATATAGAGGGCCATGGCTTGATGAAGCTTTTTAACTTACTCCCGCTGATCTCACATTTGTTTTAGAAACCCTCTGACCGGCACTGAGAGCGCTCATGAGCAATCTAAGCTGGAATCAAAGCACATTTCCTTCCATAATAGCGTCCACTGGCACTTCATCGCTTTTAATGTTCGCTTGTCTTTAAGAAGAAGAAGAAAAAAAAAAAAAAAAAAAAAAAAAAAGAGAGAGAGAGAGAAAGAAAAAGGAAAGGAAAACCGAAACTACATGTTCTCAACAGCCTATCAGAGCGCTAAGAGTCTATCATCAAGAGATAACTCCCTTCCCAATATCGAAAACTGAATCCAAGCATTCATCTCCAGAGCCACCAATGCCCGTAGCACGCCAGGCAGTCATACTACCAAGGAAGAAGCAGGGAGAGCATTAAGCCAAGAGGAGAAAGACTGACAAGGCAGAGAAGGCAAGCGCCTTAGCAGTAGATTGGGCAGCAAAGGAAGCAACCAAAGGCATTGAAGGCGCCAAGGTTGTGATTTCAGTATTAGCAGAAATTGTGGAAGCATCAGAAGTAATAGAAGAAGAAAAAGAAAACACCAACACCGGTAATCAGGACTAGTAACAGTGGCAGCAGCAGCAATAGTATGAACCATATCCTTGTAAAAAATCAACCACAGGATAAGTCCTAGACTGTGATATTCTTCAAGTGAGAAAGCGAAGCGTCAGCCTCAAAGAGGTCATCATAGAAGCCCACAACAGAACATTAATAAAAGATCACGTTGCTATCTAGTCCATACGATGTTTCTCCTTTCCTTGGTGCTTCCAATCTCCAAACTGAAGATTCCCACCCCCCTTTGAGGGCGTAAAAACAGACCTAATTTGCTCTCTTCCACTCACACTCTTTTCTCTTTGACCACTCCCCCGACGCATACTTTTTTCTCCACTCTATGATACACTCACTGAAGCTTCCTTCCCCTTGATACTGACGATATTATGGCTTCCACAACGGCCGCAACAAGGAGACAGACTAATACCTTGAACCATCATAAGCCATTTGATCTCCGAACAACAGGAGGCAGCACCAGCTCCAAGTCATACCGTGGTACGCCTCAGCAAAACCCTCATCTGGAGCAAATCCCACAATTTATTGATGCTGATGAAAGCATGAGTTCTTCGATGAGGACAAAGGGGCAGACTAGCCCTAATAGTCTAGCCTACAGTAGATATCCGGAGTCAGAAGAAGATGACTTGATACAGCTAACTAATGACTTGAACTCACTCAAAATTCGAATATCAAAGTGCACCAGAGCCCAGACATATCAGCAAGGCCTTAATGTGGATGCCACTATTGAAAGGGTAGACTTATTAACGCCTTTATGTCTGGTTTGCAGTAAGAATATTAAAATCGACAATCGTTTCAGCAGTGGCAACGTTGAAGGCACGCAACACTACTGCGAAAACCACAATCCAAATCGCCTATGTCATGGTACAAACAAAGACGGTACACCTTGCAGAAAGTCTACTCCGAATAGAGAGTTGATTAAAGGTGGTGTTGAGTGGTATTGCTTTCAACATAATCCCGCCAATGATCACCTTCAATGTCTTGGGAGAGTCGTAAAGGGAAAAAGATGCGAGATTAGATGCTCTAAATCAGAAATTCGCCTAGGCAACAAACCTTACTGTAATAAGCACTTTAGTCAGTATAAATAAAAAAAAATCGGTTAGTCTGGTGTGGTCGTGTACGAAGGATCGATTTTACTTGCATGCCTTTGTTGAAAGCTTTTGTTCCTTGCCAAGTAGAATAGTCAAAAAAGCATCGGCAACAGCAATAGTATGGATGTACTTTAGTCTTGTGCCTTAAAGCAAATAGCCACAGGATACGTCCTGGATGGCGCCAATGTCAAAGAACTCCTCATGTGAACCTACATTGGGTCCGTAGGATGATATTGAAGCCATTATCGAGCACAGCTCTTTATGCAGATCCATCAAGACTTTGTTGATTAGGTATTATTCTTGATAAATTGATCCCCTGAAAAACGTATTTGTGTAATTTTCTCACCCCTTTGGACAAAACCCTCATTCGTATTCTCTCCGATACACACATATTCTTTCCTCCTCAAATACTCAGACAACTCCTCAACTTATTTTTTTTTTTTTTTTTTTTTTTTTTTTTTCGCTTCTCCAAACATCCTCATTGGAGTGACTTTTTTTTTTCTGAGAATAATCGCACCAGCCTATTAGCCTATTGATACTAACGGCACTATGGCTTCTATGGCGAGGATAACAAGGAGATGGATTAATAGCTTTGGCCACCATGAACCATCCTTTTTCCGGACAACAGGAGGCAGCACCATTTCCGGGCCATACCGTTGTTGGACTCAGCGAAATCGTCATCTGAGCCAAACTAGCCAATTGTTTGATACTGACGGGAGTATAGCAAAGGGGAAGTCCAAAAGCTCCCGCGATCATGCACACGCAGATCTCAGGGCGAACGATCCGGTTCAGGCGACTAATAATATGGGGCTCTCCAACATTCAAGCAGTGGAAGACAGTACTAGCTCCAAACTATGCCGTCTGACATCTTGGCAAGGACATCATCTGGAACAAAATCATCAGTCTATTGATGCTGTCGAATCTATAGATTCTTCGGCGAGGACATGGGAACGGCCTAATCCTACTAGCTTAAACTACAATAGACATCCAAAACCAGAGGAGGATGGCCTGATACAGCTGACTGGCGACATGGAATCACTCACTATCCGGGTAACAAGGTGTAGTTCCAAGCCCAAGTCGAACTATCACACGCACCAGCAAAGCCATAATGTGAATACCGCTGGACAGGTGATAAACTTATTGACATCTCGATCCATGGTGTGCAATAAGGATATGAAAATCGACAGGTATGCCAATAGTGGTAACGCCAAAGGTACGCAATATCACTACGGAAAGCATGTCTCTCGTTACCGATGTCATGGTTTGACAGGCAAGGGTAGACGCTGCAGAATCCTTTCTCCGAAGAAAAGGTTGATCAAAGATGGGCTTGAGTGGTATTGCTTTCAACATGATCCTAGTAATCGTCACCTTCGATGCCAGATGAATATCAAAAGCAAAGGAAGACAATGCAAGATTATTTGCTCCGGATCAGAAATCCGCGCTGATGGTGTACCTATTTGCAATAACCACTTCAAACTAAAAAAATAAAACATTTCTGCGTTGCTATGTTCCGACTGCCCAACAGAGTCTCATACTTGTCGATCTGTCCCAAATAAAGCAAAATTTAGACCCCACTCCCTGTTCTAATATGAGCAATTGTTTGCTGTTGCCAAGGTAAAATACCTATTGTCGACAGACATATGCTTGTTGTGTGGCATGCATTTATGAGAACAATGTCAATTCTTATGCTCACTTCACTTCCAATCCAACGCTTGCTTTCATAGCCTGTTTATTACACAATGTGCTCAAATATTAGGTTCCAAATATATATATAAACTGTTAAAATAAAAGATGATCCTGCGTTCTGAAAGTATGAGTCCGGCCTTACAGAATAGTCGCTCGCATTGAGGTGATGTGAATTGAATGCATAGATATGAGCGCGCGAGACGGAGCAAGATGATGCAAAAGAGAAACGATAAATAATGCAGATAAATAAGGGAAGATTAATGGATCCGATAAAGGTATACAGTATTTTATTTATATATATTTACATTATAGACGCGTTTAAGGCCTGTTTGCTTCCATAAGAGCATTTGCTGGTTACTACTTTATCGCTTTTTGATGCTAGCTCGCCTTTAGTGCTATGAGAGATATTGACATCATTGTCACTCAATAGGCAACAAAAGAAGAACAAAGGATCAACAAACAGCCGACTAAGGTGCTCATGACACTGGGTCAGACTTCAATTAGTTCAACTTGGTTCATGTCATTTTTTTTATTTTATTTTATTTTATTTTATTTTTTTTATGACCTCTTGATTACATTAGAATGAAAGTAGCGGCGTACTTTTACCTCCAGTTTTGACCAGTAAGATGTAGATTATGTGCCCCCGTAATAACAATAGAATGATGGATTAGAGAGAGAAAGAGAGAGAATAAGCAAAGTGGACAGATTTGTAACCCTGGGAAGAATGCGTTGGCTGCAGAAGAGTGTCAATTTGTTTGTGTTTGTGTGTGGCATTTGATTTGAGCACATGTTTTTGCCGTTTGTCGTGTGTGCTGGAACAGAAATTTCTATTGGAGAAGAGTGACCAATGGGCCTGTCTTTATCAAATCAGTAAACTTTACTTGGACTGCTCAAGTCAAGTGAGAGAGGAACCCTAAAAAACAAAAAAAAATTTGATTATCTTTTTTTTTTTTTTTTTTTTTTTTTTTTACATGGATGCTGGTTATGGAAATAGTCCCTGTTCAATCAAGGTTACAGATGGATGTGATGCATGTTTGTTGAAACGGTCATGGATGACTTACTCCACAAACACAGCATTCGATACAAATATGAACCAGCTTTTTTTCTTTTTTCTTCTTTTTCTTTTACTTCTTTTCTTCACTTCATTCATTCATTCCTTTCTTCCCCTCCCCTTTCCTCTCCCTTGCCTTGCCTTGTCCTGTCTTGTCTTGACTTGCTTTGTCTTGTCCTGTTCTAACTTGCTCTGTCCTCTCAAGTCCTACTCTCCTCTCTTCTTTTCTTCTTCATTCTTCACTTTCCACTCTCCTCACAAACAAACTCTTTGTTTCCAGTCTTTTACACAGACAAAAGAAAAAAGAAATAGCATAGTGTAAAAAGACAACAGCAGCAGGACCAACAGAAGCAACAGCTTTAGTAGTCCAGACATTTAGTTCTTTTATTATATCATGGTCCTCCACACAGTATTTTTCTGGCTTGCCAGACAAACGACGGATTCCACATCAACAATAGCAACTACTGCAATGGATGCCCAATCTTCATCCACACTCGCTACGCTCTCCAGCATTACAGGCATGCTTTCCATCATCTGTTGGTTTATCGTCTTTACTCCGTAAGTGAAAATGGTTTAAAAAAAATAATTCTATCCCAATGTGCTCCTTCATCTTCTTCGTCATGAATGAGATCATGCACATCAAGAAGTCTTTGATATATCACTGATCAATTTTTATTTATTTATAAAAATCTAGACAAATCTGGATCAACTACAAGAGGCAATCAGGAGAGTCTCTTTCATTACCCTTCCTATACATTTGGCTTCTTGGAGATCTCTTTAATGTTGCTGGAGTCACTTTGGATAACTTACTCTTGACCATGGTAATGATGAAGAAATTGGGAAATTGAGACAAGAAAAAGAGGGGGGGGAGGAAGAGAAATAAAGGAAAAGGAAAAGAAAAAAAAAAAAAGGAGCAAGGCCATATTCGCATGCAACCCTTTCCTTTGTGCTTTGAACCTCCCCAGGAGTAAAAAGGAAACATTATTATTTCAATACATCTCACATGCATCATCTTTTTTTTTTTTTTTTTTTTTTTTTTAATTATCCCCTACAGAGGATTCTGGCTTGGTACTACACAATTGCCGATGTAAGTAAAATAATCATTAATGTCACACGACCAATTTCTTTTTTGTATTTTTTGTGTGACCCAGCAAAAATCGATCGTTTTTTTTTTTTTTTTTACTCAACCTCTGGATCTTTTTTTTTTTCTTATTTTTTTTATTTGATCTTTTCTCGATAGATTGTTTTGATCATGCAAGTCTATTATTATAGAAGAAAGGCTCGTTTGGCGTCTTCATCTACTAACAGGCGCTGTACTGGAGATGACAACCAAGACTCAGACTCTAGCTCGGACGAATCATCAGATTCAGAGTCACATGTTCCTGATGAAGAATCTGCACTCTTGGGCAAACAGATCGCTTCTCCCATCAATCACCACAACAACAACAACAACAATAACAATAACAGCAACAATAATAATAGTAGTAACAATTACTCTAGCATTCCTGCCAATTCTTCTACACATCATTCTATGGATCATCGTCATCGTCATCATCATCATCAGCAAAGTCTTTGTGGACGTGTAAGAATGTTCTTCAGAAGACGTCGTGTCCGTCAATGTCTCGTGGTCTTACTCCCAACAATGGCTACCGCATTCTTCGTCTGGGCTTTCTTTGAGTACCGTCGTTGTGTCCTTCAGGGTGAAATTGGCCATGGATACCAGATTCTTCAGGAGGATGGATCAGTTGATGAATGGTGGAGTTGGGTCAAATGCAGTGGAGGACACAAGATGCCCCCAGCGCCTGAGCATGGAGCTACAGAATTCCAAATCCTTGGTCACCACGATAGCGACAGCAATGGCAATGATGGCAACAGTGATCATGACAAGAGCTGGCTTCCTATCTTCTTGGGTTGGAGTTGTGCTATCCTCTATTGGGGCTCTCGTATCCCACAACTCTACAAGAATTGGGTCCTTCAATCCTGTGAGGGTCTCTCCATCATGATGTTCACGTTCACGGTCCTTGGCAATGTTCTCTTCGTGGCCAGTATCCTTTTGAACTCATTAGATCCCGACTATTTGTACCGCAATATGCCCTGGTGGCTTGGATCCTGTGGCACCTTGATCTTTGACATTATGATCTTTTGTCAGTTCTATCTTTACAAGGATAACTCGCCTTCAACAACCTCTCACAAGGATATGGAGAATGAGGAGATCCAGGCATAAGAGAGAGAGAAAAAAAAAAACTACAGCTTTTTTTTTTTTTTTTTTTCCTTGTAAACATTTGCAGATATAGATGATATTCACGACTTGTAAAATAAACTCATACCATCAACATCAAAACATGAACAGTTTTTTTTTTTTTTTTTTTTTTTAATTTGAAAAAAGTTCAAGATGGAATAATATAGTAACAAGGTGAAATAAAAAATAAGAAGAAAAAAGGGCGACATCTTTCAGTATTAACTAATAACTATATAAAGCCAGGAATAAAGCCAGGAAATGGGTGGGGTAGGGTGGGGGGGGGCAGGAGTCTCTCTCTCTTTCTTTCTTTCTTTTTTTTCTTTTTTTCTTTTTTTTTTTCTTTCTTCTTTACTTTCTTTTCAATCCCCCATCTGTACAGGGCTTCTTTTTTTTTTTTTTTTTTTTTTTTGTTGTTGTTGTAGTTGTTGTTGTTGAATAATAAAGGGTTTTTTTTTCTGTCATAAAGAATGGTACATAAACTAAAAAAAAAAAGGACATCGGAACTTTTTTTTTTTTTTTTTTCCCTTAAGCAGTTGCTTCCTGACGCTTCTCAATATTAGCAACTCGTTCCCGTAACTTCTTGACTGTAGAACGATATTCAGTGGCCTGATCTCGAGGTGATGATGAGCCTGATGCTACTGCTGATGATGTCGTCGTGGGCTCTTCATCTTCAACCTCCATAGCAGAGTCCTGGTTCTTGTTCAGGGGTGGCGTAGGAAGAGTGCCGTCCTTCAGGTCTGAATCATGAGAGCCACTCTCCCCTGTCTTCGAATCACCGTTACCCGATGGGGGTGAAGGCAATGATCCTGAGGTAGAAGTGACGCCTGTCATTGCACTGCTCTTTGAGGATGATCCACTGCCGGTAGTAGCAGTACTAGTGGAAGGGGCAACCACCACTCGTGCTTTCTTGGCTGGGGGAGTCAGACCCAGATGATCCTCCAAAAGACCCACCCTTGTTGAGAGATACTCCAACTCGTTCTCAAACTTCTCAATCACACCCTTCTCCAACTCCTTGAACTGTCCACGGACAAGACTTTCGATCATGGTTCCGCTAGATTGCAATGTCTGCAATAATTGTGCAGACTTGCGAATCTGTTCCTCCAGCGTATGCTTTAATGAACGGGTCGAGTCCATCGAGTCAAAGAGATTCGATACTGTTTCCATGAACACTGGCTTGGATATGTGACCAGGTGGGCCAGCCAGGCTGCTACCAGGATGGAATGGTGTAGTTGGATGAGGAAACATTGGTGAAGGCAAAGGTCCGGTATGGGATGAAAGGATTGGAGCAGGCAATGTTCCAGAACTATTATTATATTCAACAGACAGAGGAAGGAAAGGAAAAGAAGAAAGAAAGAAAGAAAGAAAAAAAAAAAAAAAAAAAAAAAGTCAGTATATGTAATTCGTTACTTTTGTTGTTGTTGTTGTTGCAATAAAAGCCATTCAATAAAATATAAAATAGCTCAGCATTAGGTTATTTCGTCTTGGATTTTTACCTGCTGTCGAGACCGGCAGTATGAGGTCCGGGACGAAGAGTGACCCGGGAGGATTTTTTGAGATGTCCTGCTGTCTTGGGCGATCGAAGGGGTTGTGGTATCGTTCCAGTAGGTGGTGCTTGGTGTTGTGAGAGTGGATGTGGGGTATGATTGCGAATAGGCTGGGACGTGCGAGGGTTCATACCCAATGCCAGATGGCTTTGGGAAGGTTGAAGAGGAGCAGAGTGGATTGACAGTGATGAATCTGAATAGGAGGGTGCAAAAATAGTCAACGACTTTGCATTCTTCGAGCTTCTAGGTGATGTCAATGGGCGACGGTTAAGGGCAGCAGCAAAGGTTGCACTTCCATGGAAGACCGAGATGCCACTGGATGTCTTTTCTGTGATTGCTTGATTGGTGTTGCTGTTGTTGTTGTTGTTGCTGCTGCTGTTGGAGCTGGAGCTGCTGTTGCTGGCATTACTGCTAGTGGAAGAAGGTGGGTCCTTGGATTTGCTAGAGTGGATTGATGAAGTGGAGGCATTGCTCTGTCTGGCCTCGATGAGGGCCTTTTGTTGTTGTTTCATCCAAAGGGTTGTACGAACTTGGTCCATGACTTCAGGGGGGCCACTAGAGCTAGGAGGGGAAGTGGAGGAGGCCTTGTGTTGGAGAGAAGAGGAGAATGCATTAAGGACTTTACGCTTTTTGTTGATACGGACACCAGGCTCATCATCTTCGTCCGAGTTGGACTGGGGCATAGGAGATTCTTGACGGGGACGAGGAGAGCGTGGGTGAGAAGCAAGGTGATCATTGTAGTGACTACGAGAACCAGAAGCACGTGCGCTATTAAAATAAAAGAAAGGGTCGAAATGGTGAGAGGTGGTACAGTTTGGATTAAAAAAAAAAAAAAAAAAAGAGATAAATATAGTGTGAAATATAAAATGTACACAATACATTTTACATTTTACATTTTACATAATAATTAAGGTATTACAAGTCCATCAAATATAATCAAATGAAATTAATTTTGACTCGTCACCAACTAGATGTCAGGAAGAGTAAGAGAGGGGAGAGGGGTAAATGTAAAGTGCGTTTTGTGTCGCCCAATTTAATTTCCAATACGATCCAATCATTGACTGAGGAATTGAAAGAGACATGGGCGCTGATTACAATTACAATTGTTTGAGGTTGAGGGGGATACCATCTCCGTCTGATTGTGTCTGTGTCATGTCATGACACACACAAAAAAAAAATAATAATATCACTCCTGAACATACCACCTTCAGGCACTGCCCAAAAGTCCAATCCATTGACAATCATACGCACTAACACATTATCACATAAAGAGAGCTCCAACAAAGCTCTCATCTTTATCTTTCTCGCACCAACACAGCATCATCATTATAGGAAAAAAGAAGGAAAAAAAGAGAGAGAGAGAGAGAGGAAATGAAAGAGAGAGAAAAAAAAAAAAAAAAAAAAAAAAAACAACTTACCGAGAACTGGAGGGAGGGTCTGAGAATGATGCATCATCGGGTGAGCCCTTGCGCTTGTATGGAGGAGAGCTATGACCATCTTCAGGGTGACCTTGGTTACGACCAGGACCTTCAAGAACTTCGTGAATGGCCATTCGGTTAAATTTGCGGGCTGTGGTAGGTGTAATGGGAGAACGACCCCAGTTTGCAGGCTCTGCCTCAAGGTGTTGTTGAACAATATGGGGACGACTGCTGTTGCCGTTGTTGCTGTGATGGTGAGCAGCAGGAGAGGTAGCACGAGTATCTTTCATATAAGCTGAGGATGAAGGAGGAGAAGTAGAGCGGTTAGATGGACGGGAGTTGTGGTGGTGTTGGTGACGTGAATCTTCTTGTGAAGGTTGTGAGTGATTATAAGAAGAGTGGCGTGTGCTTGAGTTTGAAGACGAGGCAGTAGATGGAGAGGAGCGGGATGGTGAGGTAGCTAATTCTGCGAGATGATCAAGGCGAGAAGTGGGAGCAGGAGAAGGGGCTTCATCAAGTTCCATGGCTATGGATGTGTGTGTGTATGAATGTATGTGTGTGTATGCAAGGAGAAGAAAGAGACGTAAACTTGGATGTGGACGTTAGAACGGACAATCAAAGAGACAGTTGGATAATTAGAGAGGATAGGAGGAAAAGAAATGGATGAAGAGCAAACAAGGAGGAAAGAGAAAAGGGAAAAGAGGAAGAAGAAGAAGAAGAAGAAGAAGATAAAGAAAAGGAAAGGAATGAATGAATGAATGAAGGGAAAAAAAAAAGAGGAAAAGTAAAAGAAAAGAAGAAGAAAGAGGGAGAAAGGGAAAGGGAAAGGAATGTATATAAAATTGTGAAGAAAAAAAACTCAACACATGAGAAAAGGGAGGCAAAGGGACGTATTTAAAAAAAAACAAAAAAACAAAAAAGTTATTATTATTATACATATTATTATACTCTACTATTAAAACCTGTTGCTATTCATCAATAATTCCGCAATGTTTATGATCTTTATTGTCAAGGAAAACTTCCTAACCTTGCTCTTCGCAACCTTTACCTTTATTCACTTCATCTTTCACTCCAGCACAAGCTGCTCGTAATTGAACATGTTCATTTTCTAAACCTTTCAGCTGACGGCAACAGGGGAAGAAGGGAGAAAGGGGCCGCGACCATAGCGCTGATACAAGTATCGAACATTGGGACATCTAAAGGTCAGTCAAGATTCCAAGATTGACCTTCTCCTTCTCCTAAAAGAGATGAATCAGCAAGCAAATGATGGTTTTTTTTTTTTTTTTTTTTCTTTTTTCGCCCTTCCATTAAATTGCATGAGTAAATGGATATGTATTTACATGTACACATGCACAAGAGATATTCACAGAAACATAAGACAGGCTGAAAAGAGACGTGCGTTCAGGAGCTCCTTGTCCGTTTCACAAACAGGAGGAAAAAAAAAAAAGTAAAGAGCGCCTAATATTATTTAAATATTTTTAATTCATCTATTCAATCTTTTTTTTTTTTTTTTTTTTTTTGCTCTCATGTTCAAGTTAACTACGCATGGATCCCTTACGTGTAGCAGATCCAAAATGCTCGATAACAATTATACAAGTACCGATTTTATTATTTTCTTGTTTTTTATTTTTTTTTCTTTTTTCCAGATTCCAGCTGACAGGGCAGGACAGGACAGGATAGGACAAGACTGGATAGAAAAAACTCAGCCGCATGTCCCCAAAGAGAGGAAAAAAAAGAAGAAAGAACGGGAGAAGGAAGGAGAGGGAGGGGCAATCGACGTATCAGGATGCGACAATTCCATAACAATTGGCATGGAAACAAATCGTCTGCTATGGAATGGAGAAAAGCGGAAAATAAAATAAAAAAAATAAAATCATGGATTGCCATTGATGAAAAAAAGACATACTATACCCCCTGGTACATGCATACATACCCAATACCTCAATGTATACAAAAGATGCAAGAGCTATTGCAGATCCAGTATACGTCCCCACCCTTTTTTTTTTTTTTTTTTTTTTTTTTTTATAAAAAAAAAAAAAAAGAGCCGGCAATGTCATCCACAAGCATAACAACATAAACAGAGGACGGACTATATGCTAACAATCCGATCCATGGTACATGTACCCTTTTTTTTTTTTTGTGAAATAGGAGAAGTTGTTGAGGCGTCGAATTACAGAGAGACACGAAGGCATGCTCTCCTGGCTGCCGTTGCCGAAGCCGTTCATATGCATGGTTTATGACCTTTCTAGTTACAGTTACAATCTCCGTTACCTTGTCACCATCTCCTCTCCCTCATGCAGCCCTATTCCTGGCGCCCTCTCTAATATAATCTTTATGATATAACAGATAGAGTATATTTGTTCCGAAGCCTTTTTTCCTTCTTTTTTTTCTTTTTTCAGGATCTTTCTAGTATACGTATTGTGTTATGTATTGTACAGTGACTAGACTACCAATTTGTTTCCTGGGTTTTTTTAAGAAAGAAAGAAAAAAAAAATCCCAAGGCAATTAGGATGAGACAAGGGCTCTTCAATTACCTCTCCCCTGCAGGATCAAGAGGATCAGGCAATAGAAGTTTAATGCTATGGATAGGTACCACGAATCGACCTTTTTTTGGACAGACATATACAATTATTATTGCTCATAAACAAACCCCTGCTCAACATGAATATTATTATTTATTATTATTATTATTATTTTCCCAGATGATAGATGACGACGAAAGAGATTACCAGCTACATTTGATTGCTCCTTTGGATGATTTCATAAACCAAACTCGTCGGTGGCTTTTGTTCAAGTTTCTTTGGATCTTGAACGCAGATTCTTTTTATATAACCGTGTGTATGTATCATAATGTCATTTCAAACTAAAAAAGCTTTTGCAAGCACTCTGGTGAGCCTTCTTCTTGATCAGCTAGCTCTTTCCTCTCCTCTTCCTTCCCCCCCTCTTTCCCTGTTCCTTGATTTCGGAGACAAAATAAAAAATAAAAAATAAATAAAAAAGATGTCACATCACTAGAAAATAAAATAAAATATATAGATGGATGCATATAATATAAGAACTACAAGGGTGTATAATGGTAAAAGGGCCTTTGGGTTCCTCATTAACTCCTAGTTGCCGTTGTGCTGATTTTCTTTTTCTTTTTTTTTTTCTTTTCCTTTTCCTTTTCCTTTTCCTCCTCCCCTTCCTTCAACCTCTCTCCCCTCGTAAAGCTCATGTGGGTTGATTGCAAAATTTACTATACTATACTTGCTCTTTTCCTTTTTTCCTTTATGCCATTTACCACGCGCTTTATTCTTTTTTAGCAATTTAACGTTGCTCTAACCTGATGGCGCCCAAAACTATTCTGTATAATGTATACTTGTCATCAAGTATATATATACATGTAATACGTATATATGTAATATGATATGTATATGTATATGTATATTTATACAATATGTATGCAAATGTATATGTCAATGTTTCTAAATGTATGGTAAATATGTATAGAATGGATCCTTTTTTTTTATTGTCGATCGTGTTTACAAAGACTTTTTGACAAGGTTCGGTGGATTCCAAGGTATATACCGTCGTCTCCAGTAATTTTTCTTTATTTCCCTGTAACCTGTAACTGAGCAATTTTCGATTTATTGGGTGGATATGCCTTCTAATAGAAGTCAATTAGGTTTTTTTTTTTTTTTTTTATCTTTACCTCTTTTGTTCTTCCTACTGTTGCTACTCGCTTCTTGCTTCATGCTTCTTGCTTTTGTCTTTGGCTACTCTTGTTTTCTATATCTTGAAGTGATCAATTGAAGACAAGGCAAGGCAAGGCAAGGCAAGGCAAGGCAAGGCAAGACACATGTATATGAGATATTTAGAATTTTTTTTTTTATAACGTAAGGAACTAGGGAACTAGCAAGGAGCAGGGGAGGAAGGAAGGAAGGAAGGAAGGAAGGAAGGGATTACAAACAAACATAATTGTGAGCATTTTTGTAAACATTAATAACTTTTTTTCTTTTTTAAAATTAAATGACCCTGTTGTTGGCTCCTTCAGGGTCTTTTCTTCCTCTCTCTCGCTCTGGATAAAAAATAAAAAATAAAAAATAAAAAACAAATAACAAATAATATATATATATAATCATTATTACTCTAGCCCTTTTACTTTTCATATGATCATATCAGACATAAATCTAGCGAACCAAAACCAGAACCGGTACCGGAGGTGGAGGAGAAAATAAAAAATGGGGGGAGTGTTTAAACGAATTGGTTTTTTTTTTTTATCGATCAACTTCCTTAAATTCGCTTGATTAGAAAAAAAAAAAAGAGCCGGTGTCATTTTGGGGATAGTTTGCAACATCAATATGGTTAGATGGGACTAAATAAAAGGCCTCGGGGCCCCGGATTTTCATTATTGCCTTACCTTTTTTTTTTTTTTTTTTTCTTTTTTCTTTTTCTTTACCCCTTTGCAAATGAATGGTGATAACACTAAAAGAAAAAAGACATTCTGACCTGACGATATCAATAGCTTTTTCATGCTGTTTATGTAAATGTGGATTATTTATTTATATTATATATAATTGTGTAATAAATTATTAACGAGTTTTTTTTTTTTTTTTTTTTTTTTGAGAGTTATGAGAGCAAAGAAGTCTTGTGGCTGTAAAGGCCTCAATTGGTTCCTCCCTCTTCCAACCAACCACATTCTTTAGAATAATGGTTATTAAGCGCAGCACTTTATCATACTTTTTTTGCATTGACCTACTCTTACTCTTACTCTTACTCTTACTCCCACTACAACTTCTATAATATTTGTATATTGTATATATATGTATACCACTACTATCCTACTATGCATGAAAATAATAATAAAAAAAAGAACTACGACTATCTATGTAAAGTTTTTGTTTCTCAAGAAGAGAGCAATATTATATATTTGTTCAATAATCGATTCTCATTCCAGTCACCATCCAAAGACAAATATGCAATGCTATGCAGCTCTCTCTCTCTCTCTCTTTGTCCAAAAAAAAAAAAAAAAAAAAAAAAAGAGGAAGGACCCAAGAGAATGACGATTATTTTCACATGTGCTAAAGTAGGTTCAGGAACGCATAGTAATATTCTAGTTGTATATATGATATAAATGTATAATAATAATAAACTTGACGGGCTGATAGGGTACATGTATAAATATTGTTGACATGTATATATCTCATTCTTCCACGTTCGAGCCATCTTATATTATTCCTCAGAATCAGAGGATATGATTGGTTAACGGGTTGTATGAACAATGCCAATCAAGATGCTCAAGAAACTTTATTACTAAAAGGAGTTGCTGCTTTTACACCATCATGACCATCACCAAAAGCTTCGAGTTAGAGACCAACAGCATATCCCGTATATACTTGTATACACATTTGATCTCCTATTTATGATGCTACTTTTTTTTTTTTTTTTTTTTTTTTTTTTTTATATTCCACTCTGGTCAGTTAATACAGCCAAGACCTACTAATGCCCTTATGTGTGTCAGTTTTGCAGGACTTTCTTTGAGACATTTTATGAAGGACTTTTTAGTAGAACAGATACCCCACCTTCCTTCTCCGTCTCCGAGGTCCGACTGTCAGTAAAAATAGGTATAGGTTGTTTTGCATTTTTTTTTTCTTTCTTTGCGTTGGAATGATGGAATGACGGAATGACGCAATATGTTCATCCAGCCAGATGCAAACCTTATGAAACACACCCATCCAAATTCATTCTCTCTTGAAACGTGGCTATAGTATATACCGAAACGTGGGTTTTAAAAAAA